TCGCCCCGCAAGTGGGATTTTGCTGGGGGTGACTCACGGAGAACGCAGGGTGGGCCGTTCCGGCGTGTTTCAGATCGCCTCTGCGCAGTTCCTCCGCTGGCTGTCCCGGCCTTTGCCGTGTGGGACGCCAATATTGTTCCCGCAGCCGGGCCTGGGCACCCCCAGGAGTCCTTCTCCGTGTCGGCTCCAAAACCTCGAACCCGCTGCCGCTTATTTGTCGATGTAGGATCGTTGTTGAAAGATTTATTCGTCCTTTGTTGCTCTTGGAAATGCAGTCAATACTCTTCTTTGCCCATTTTTGGATTGTTTGTTGATTTTTTTTGTTGTCGTTGAGTTACAGAAGTTCTTTATATACTCTAGATATCAATCCCTTATCAGATATGTGCTTTGCAAATATTTCTCCCATTCTGTGTGTTGTCTTTTCACTTTCTTGATGGTGTCCTTTAATGCACAAAGGTTTTTAATTTTTTTTTTTTTGCAGATGGCCAGTACAGGGATCCGAACCCTTGATCTAAGTGTTACAAGGCTGTACTCTAACCAACTGTGCTAACATAACCAGCTGGCCAAAAGTCTTTAATTTTGATGAAGTTCAATTAATTTTTTTGTTGTTGTTGCTTATGCTTTTGGTATCATATAAATTGTATAACTTTTAAAAGAAAAAATGTCACAGACATTACTTTAGCCAAGTGATCAAACTTAACATCACTAAGAATGAGGCAAACCAACATCACATGTCCCTAATCAGTTACTCTGAGAGGGACACAGCATTGCTCCTGTGATATTCCTACCAAAATTGTTAAACTTGGATCCTGTCAGGAGGAAACATCAGATAAACCCAAATTCACAGACATTCTGCAAAATAACTGATGTGGACTCTTCAAAAATGCCAGTGTCTTGAAGTACTGAAGTGGGGTGGGGGCGATTGTTCCAGACGAAAGGAGGCTGAAGGAACATGACATTTATTTATTTATTTATTTATTTATTTATTTATTTATTTATTTATTTATTTATTTATTTATTTATTTATTTTTCCTTTTTTGTCTTTTTTCGTGACCGGCAATGCATCACAACCCTCAGTGTCGCGCCCGTACCAGACCGTGACTGGCAACGGGATCGCAACCCGCAGTGCTGCGCCTGCACCTCGCTCAGCCAGTGAGCGGCCGGTCTGTATGTGGGATCCGAACCCTCGGCAGGAGCGCACCCGCGCTCCCAAGCAGCGCACTGCAGCAGTGCGCCACTGGGCCGGCCCGGAACATGACATTTATTTATTTATTTTTCCTTTTTTGTCTTTTTTCGTGACCGGCAATGCATCACAACCCTCAGTGTCGCGCCCGTACCAGACCGTGACTGGCAACGGGATCGCAACCCGCAGTGCTGCGCCTGCACCTCGCTCAGCCAGTGAGCGGCCGGTCTGTATGTGGGATCCGAACCCTCGGCAGGAGCGCCACCGCGCTCCCAAGCAGCGCACTGCAGCAGTGCGCCACTGGGCCGGCCCGGAACATGACATTTAAATGCAACTTGTGGTCAAGGGTATGGATCCCTGTGCTGGCCAGCTGCCAAAACAAACAAACAAACAAAAAAATCTGTGATGCTGAATTGGATTCTGAAGTAGGAAAAAAAAAATCTACAAGGAATATGACTGGGATGATCACAGATATTTTAATATGGACTTTATATTAGATAATAGCATAGTATTAAGGTTACATTTACAGAGTGTGATCACTGTATTGTGGTTATGGAGGAGAATGTCGTTTTTCTCAGGAGGAACATGTTGAGGCGTGATGCCTTTTGGGATGAAGTGGCATGATGTCTGCAAGTAACTAAAGAATGTTTCAGATAAATATATACACAGTAAATGTGGCAAAAATACATACATAGTAAATGTGGCAAAAATGTCAACAATTGGTTCATCTAAGTAGATAATATATTGGAGTTCATTGTACTACCATTACAACTTTTTGGTAGATACATAAATTTTCTAAATAAAACATTGGAGAGAGGAATAAGAAAAATCAGATGGTATAATGTATAGGTATCACTAGCAGCTTCCTTTGTTTCTGCAACAACATATCTTAGAGATCATTGCTATCAATGCATAGAGGTCTCTCTCATTCTCCTTAACTACTGGATAATATTTTCTTATGTGACCACATATGGACTAGTTGACTTTTCCCCAATTGGTGCATATTTCGTTCTCTTTCCAGTTTTTCCCTATAGCAAGCATATTGTAATTGACATCACACAGGTGAGAAGTTTTCCAGGGCCCATACTAAAGTGGAAGTGCTGGGACTTGTCCTTTGTGTTTATGTCTGTGGCATGTAACCTCAGACTCCAAACCTCCCAAGCCATGAGATTCCTGAGGCAGAGACAAAGTCAGATTGATCTTCTTCTCACGTGTATTCCCCTTCTCCAGCACTCTGCCCCTTCCCCACAGCAATCTTTGCTTAGGTAATTTCCACTCATCCCTTTTTTTTTTTTTTTAAAGATGACTGGTACGGGGATATTAACCCTTGACTTGGTGTTGCCAGCACCACGCTCTCCCAATGAGCCATGGGCCAGCCCTCCACTCATCCTTCTGATCTCAGCTCAAATGTCACTCCCTCTGGGAAGCAGTCCCTAACTCTTCAACTAGACCAGGTGCCTCTTCTATAAGCAATTATGATAGCAACCCTCTAAGATGGACCCCAGTGATTCTCACCTGGTATTCACTTTCCCTCCTACATTGGACAGGGCTGATCTGTGTACCAATATGATATTTTGGAAATGACAGGCTGTGATTTCTGAGGCAAGATCATAAAAGACATTGCACCTTCCACCTTGCCCTTTCTTGGATCTCTAACTCTGGGGGAAAACTGCTGTCACGTGAGGAATCTCACATGTCCTTGTGGAAAGATCCACCGTGGTAAGGAGCTGAGACTTCCTGCCAACAGCTAACATTATTCTGCCAACCACATGAGTGAGCCACCTGGGACATAGATCCTTCAACCCCAAGCAAGGCTTCAAATGACTTCAGCCCTGGGTAACATCTTGACTGCGGTTCCATGAGAGATTCCAGCCAGAACCACCCTACTAAGCTGTTCCCAATACTGATCCACAGAAACTGTGTGAGATAATAAATGTTTGCTGTTTGAAGTTGCTAAGTTTTACGGCAACTTGTTATATGCAATAGATAACTAATACAGCACTCAAAGCTTCCTGCCATTTTTTTAAATCATAGAACTAATTACAGTAATTTTTGATTTATTTGTGTAAGATCATTTAAGTCCATTTTCCCTGCTAGACAGTGAATGCTGTCAGAGTGGAGACACTGTTTTCTTGCTGCCAGTGCACTCATTTCATTTAACAAATGTTTATTTATTTATTTATTTTTGCAGCTGGCTGATAGGGGGATCAGAACCCTTGACCTTGCTGTTATAACACCAGGCTCTACCTAACTGAGCTAACTGGCCAGCCCAGCAAATGTTTATTGAACACCAGACTTGTGCCAAGCTCTAAGCTGAACACTGGAGATCAGGGCTAGGACTAATGTGAAACAAGTGAGGTGCCATGCCCAGACTACAAAATTTAAGGAGGCATTCACTCTCAGGCATGTTTAAAGGCTGGGTTAGCACCTAAGAGTAAGAGCTTTTTAAAATTTTGCACCCTGGGCACATTGCTTACCTCAGTGTAGTCCCAACCTTGTTGGTGATAGAGACGTGCACAAGACAGAAATGATCTCTGTCCTCTTTTCATCCTTGCAATATTCAATAGTTATGTTTTGGCTCTTCGGCCAGTACCACACTTTTGATTTACATAGTTCTGTAATCTGCTTTGTTTCTATTAAGGCAAGTCTCCTCTCAGTACCGATAGTAATATCTTTACTATGTGCCACCATGTTCTAGGTGATGAAGACACAATTAACAGTATCCCTGCTCTCAACATCTTACCAACTAGTGGGAAATTTGGACAAAAGACACACACACACAGAGCAAATAAAATCATTAAAATTGTAATAAAGTCTGTAAAAAACAAAACAAAACACACACTAACTGCTGACCTAGAAAATTATGAGGGTGGGGAAGGGGAACCTTTTTACGTAGGGTTGTCTATGAAGGTAAGCTAATGGAAGAAAAGAGGTCAGCCATGAAATGAATAGGGGAATGGCCTTCCTTCTGGGGAATAGCGAGCAGGAAAGGCCCTGAGATGTGAAAGCACGTGGCATATTTGAGTAAATGAAAGAAGACAAGTGTACCCCTGGATAGGAAGTGAGTGAGAAGGCTCTTATTACCTGACATATGTTAACAATGAACATTCATAATGTGAACCAATGTTTGTTGAGCACTTACTATGTATATGTCACTGCTAAGTAATTTGAAAACTTATCAAAACTTTAAAACAACCCTACCGAGGTGAACCGTTGATCCCTTCTATTTTACAGATGAAGAGATTAAGAGGTGAATTTACCAGGCCCAAAGTCACACAGTTAAGACACGCAAGGGCAAGATTTGCACACAGTTCTGACTCCCAAATTCATGCTCTTAAACCGTTGTCTGTCTCCCATTGGGAAACACACTCAACCTATTTTAACCAAAGCGTTGGGTGAGCGTGGAAAGACAGGTACATTTCCAGCTCCCCCCCCCCCCCCCCCCCCCCCCCCCCCCCCCCCCCCCCCCCCCCCCCCCCCCCACATTCTTATATAAAACTATTGTTCCCGGTATGCCCTTCTCCCTCGGTGTGGAGGTGGGTGGGGGTAGGGAGCTACCAGAACTACATTCCCCACAATGCATCCCCTCCTCACTGGCTGTCGAGCATGTCGGGAATTGTAGTCCTCCGGAGAGACGTTCGCCCACAACTCCCAGCATACATTTTGGGGTCTGACTCGTTTGGTAGGAAAAGACAGTCGCACAGCGTGCTGGGACGCGGGCCCGACCCATTCCCTCTCGGCTTGCCGCCTGGACGAACAAACTCATTCGTGAAACTACAACTCCCAGAGGGCTGCGCGCGAGAGGGCAGGCGGATTCTTCTGCCGGAAGTCCGTTCTAGCCCTGGGTTTCCCAACTGCAGCCAGAGCCGGAGCCGCCCGGTCGCCGCGGGAACCGGACCGCTGGGGTCCGGACGGGGGTCGCCATGGTAACGGGGGCTCGCCCACGCAGGGGACGGGTGGAGGGGGTCCCACGTGCAAAGAGTCAAGGCTAAGTCAGGCGCTGACAAGCCCCCCACCCCTGCCGCGAATGGTCTGGGCCGGGCGCGGGCTCTCCGGATGGGGCCGATCAAGGGCCAGGAGGAATATAGGGCCGTGATTCTGCGCGCGGGCGTGCACCGGGGGTCTCGAGGCCAGGGAGCATTGGGGAAGGGGTGCCAAGGGGAAAAGGGCCATGAGGGTCGGAGACATTGCAGATGGCTGGGGGCGTTAGAAACCGGTGAGGCGACTCGTTAAGGCACGGTCGCGGGGGTAGAAAGAATTGGAGGTAGGGAGGGGGCGTCACAAGAGGAGGGCTGTCGGGGAGTGTGGCGGGAGAATTGGAGAAGGGAAGACATTGGAAGGGGAAGGAGGTCTCCTGATGGGATGGGTCTCCAGAGGCAAGGAGCTGACACTGAAGGCGGAAAGGGAGTGTTGAAGCATGGGCGGAATATTGCTGATGAGAGAGAGTCTCGAGGGGAAGACAGTGGGCACAGGAGACAGGAAGTAGGCAACTGTAGGGGATGAGGCTTTATAGTCAGAGAAAGTGTGCTGCAGAAGGAGAGAAGGCTTGGAGGTAGGAAGGGGATACCAGAAATGAATGGGGAGGAATTGAGTGGGTCTTTCCAAGAGCAGAGGTCTTGTGGAGTAGGAAGTAGGCTTAGAGGTGTGAGATTTTGGGAGGGGGCTATTAGAGAAATGACTGAACATTGGATCGGGGGTTTCCCCTGTCCCCCAGATTGGGGTTTTAGAACTAAGAAAGAGTTCTTTGGGCAGGTAGTAGGGAAAGAAAATGAATGGGGGAGGATGTCAGATTAGGGGAGAAGTCTTTCCAAGGAACAGGAGGGTCTCCTAAGGCAACACATGACCTTTGGAAAAAGGGAGGATGCCTTGGATTTGGAGAAGTGCTGTCCCTAATAAAAGGCCCACTGAGGCCTGCAAGACGAACTGAAACTAATAATGCGGAGGTCAAAAGGGAACAACTCCAGAGGAAGGTGATGGGATACAGGGAAGGAGAATGCAGGAGGGAAGGGCATTCTCAGAGTGGATTCCCTGAGATGGAGAGAATCTAATTGGGAAGAGAAACAGCAAGAGGTATGTAAGGGAATTTGGGAGTAAGAGGCAGAGCTTTTTCTCACCTCCGCAGGCTCGCTTCTAGCTCTTTTTCCTGTATGTCCCATATATCTCTGGCTCTGACCCCAGCCTGTGGCTGCTTGTTGTGTTTCCCCCCACCCCCTTTCCCCCCTGGTACATCTGCCTTGCTAGGAAGTGGTTTTCCCTGGCTCAGCAGAAGAAGTTCTTGGAAGGAGAATGTAATATCCTGTTCCTGTCTAGCTTGGTTAGTTGGGGGAGGAGGAAGTGAGCGTGTGGAGAATGAGGCTTAGGGAAGAGAGTGGACACCTGTTAAAGGGTGGGGCTCCCACAAATTGGGATGAAGAGGTTCAGAGCAAAGCTTTTGGATTCCCAGCTCTGCTTTTTGTCTGTGAGACTTCTTTCCCTGAACCTCAGTTTTCTCATCTATAAAATGGGCATAACAGGTCGGCCCGTGGCTCATTCAGGAGAGTGTGGTGCTGATAACACCAAGGCCACGGGTTCGGATTCCTATATAGGGATGGCCGGTTAGCTCACTGGGTGAGCGTGGTGCTGACAACACCAAGTCAAGGGTTAAGATCCCCTTACCGGTCATCTTTTTGAAAAAAATAAAGTAAAATAAAAAATAAATAAAATGAGCGTAAGTATGGCTGTCTGAATCAGAATGGGGCCCAGAGCTTCCTAGCTGGGTGAGCTTGGGCTATGGTTTTCTCAAAGTCAAATAATGACAAATTATAACGCTAAGAGCTAGTACTTATGTGACACTTAGTATTGCTAGTCACTGTACTATACCTCTTGTGTTTATTAACCCGTGCAAAGTCCTATGAGGGAGATACTATCACATCCATTATATAGAAGGGAAAACTGAGGCCCAGAGGGGTTAAGTGATCTGTCGATGGACACACAACCAGTAACTGGCAGTGCCAGGATTTGTTTTGGCTCTGGAGTCTGTGCTCTTAGCCTCTCAGTCGTAGTGATAGCTAATTTCATTGAGTGTTCAGTGTGTAACAGGCACTATGCTAAACACTTCTGGCAGTAACTTATTCAGTTTTCACAGTAGCCCTATGACGGTTGACCTGGCTTTTCAGAATCACAATAAATTTCCTAGCCATAACTGATGATAACTATAGCTAAAATAGAGCACATAATCTGAGCCAGGCACTGTTTTGGGTACTTCTCATATCTAAGGGTGCTTCAGAAAGTTCCTGGAAAGAGTCATATGATATTTCAGTTCTATTTTCCATGAACTTTTTGAAGTACCATCAGATTTTTTACTCCTCGTAATAAACTCAGGCACCAAGCATTTAAGAAGTGACAGATGCTTTGGAAAATAGTTCAGCAATTCCTGAGAGAGTTAAACATCGAGTTACTACTATATGATCCAGCAATTTTCCTAAGTATATGCCCAAGAGAAATAAAACACATGTCTACACAAAAACTTGTAGACAACTGTTTATAGCAACATATTTGTAATAGCCAAAAAGTGGGAACAACCCAAATATTCATCAACTGATGAATGGATAAGCAAGATTGTAGATCTATACAATGGAATATTATTCAGCCATATGAAGAAACAAAGTGACCCATACCAGCCAGCAGCCAAAAAAAAAGGAAGGAAGTATGCACTGATACATGCTACAACACGAAGGAACCTTGAAAACATGCTAAGTGAAAGAAGCTAGTCACAAAAGCCACATTTTAAATGATTCCATTTTTATGAAATGTTTGGATTAGGCAAGTCCATACAGACAGGTTTAGTGGTTGCCAGGGGCTGAGGGAACGGAGAGTGACTGCTAGTTGGGGGGTTTCTTTTTGGGGTGATGAAAATGATCAGGAATTAGATAGTGGTGATTTTTACACAACTCTGTAATATACTAAATGAATATACTAAAAACCATTGAACTATCTACATTTTAAGTGGGTGAATTTTATGGTATCTGAATTATATTTCAATTTAAAAAAAATTAGTAAGCAAAAAGAAAAAAGAAGTGGCAGAACTGGGACTCAAACCAAAGATGTCTGAAACTCAAACATTTATTGTGTGCCTCCTACACGCCAGCCACTGAACTAAGTTCATAAACTTATTTAACCTTCAAAACACCACAGTAAGATGACTCTTCTGGTGAGGAAGATGAACTTGCTGGTGAGGAAACTGAGGCTGAGATAGGCAGACAAGAGGTGGTAGAGCCTGGGACTTGGGGACTCTAAAGTCAGCCACTTGGTGGAAGGGAAATTATTCCACCTGGGTGTTGGAGGGACTTGGGACCAAGCGTTGGCCAGGCTGGCCTGGCTGGGCTCCGCGGTGCAGCCGAGACCCCTGGAAGGCTGGCAGCAGGGAGGCCCTGAGCCTTATCTCCCCTGTGAGGATGGGTGGGGCCGTGGGGCAGTGCCTGCCTAGCCCTGGCCCGCCTTCCCTGCCACTTTCACCTCCTCCTCCTGCTGCCTCCAGATCCGCTTCATCCTCATCCAGAATCGGGCGGGCAAGACGCGCCTGGCCAAGTGGTACATGCAGTTTGATGACGATGAGAAACAGAAGTTGATTGAGGAGGTGCACGCGGTGGTCACCGTCCGAGATGCCAAACACACCAACTTTGTGGAGGTGACGGGACCCCCTCCCATGCCTCCCACAACTCCCTGCTTCCTTGTGACCTCTTTTTCCCTGCCTCCTGCCCAACCTCTAATTGCCATAGTCCCTTAGACTCTCCTTCATACATTATTCACTCAACGTGCTTTTAGGTTGCTTTCTTCCTTCCCTCTTTTGGTACTTTTCATTGTGAAAAATTACAAACAGATTAGTACAGTGAGAAGGAAAAACAGATTGAAGATTCATGTACCTATACCCACTCCTCAGATTTATTCAGTATTAATATTTTGCCTTTTTGCTCTACCTTCTTTTATTTTATTTTTTGCTAAAGAATTTTTTTTCTGGTGCCTTTTTAAAAGTTACTGTTGAAATGTTCAAACACACAAAAGTAGAGAGAACAGTATAACAAATTTTCCTTGCTGCAGTATTTTAAGTTAAATTACAGGCATCATCACATTTCATTCCTAAATATTTCAGGGTGCATCTCAAAAAAGAAAGGCATTTCCCTACGTCACCACAATATCTTTCTCAGATCTGATAAAATTAGTAATATTTCCTTGATATTACTCTAAAACCCAGTCAATATTTAAATTTCCCCAAATCTTCAAAGCTGATTTTTTCAAAGTCAGTGGAGGGTCTTGCATTGCTTTTGGTTGCTCTGTCTCTGGTCTCTTTTAATCTAGAAGTTTAGTCTCCTGGTTTTATTCCCATGACATCAACCTGTTCAAGAGACCAGGCTGATTGTCTGCAGAATTCAACAAATATTTACAGAGCGCCAGCTATGTGCCAGGCACTGTTCTAGGCACTGGGGATACAGCAGTGAACATTACAGACACAAGTCCCTACCCTTGGAGAGCTGAAGTTCTGGTTGGTGGGAGACAGATAGTAGAAGTTGTAGTGTATCGAGTGGTGATAAATGCCAGGGAGAAAAATAAGCAGCATTGAGAGGGTGGCAGTGCTAGGGGTACATACTGGGGAGTGGCGTACGGGTTTGAATACTTGGTCAGGAGGGATGGCTGAAAAGGTGACATTTGAGCCAAGGCCTGAAGGAGTCGAGGGAGTGAAAGATGACATCTGAGAAAGGAACGTTCCAAGCCAAGGGAACAAGTACAAAGGCCCTGAGGCAGAAACACACTTTGGGCATTCCGGGAATAGCAAGAAAGCCAGCTGTGTCTAAGGTGGAAGAAGTCAGGGAGCAGGATGGGAGGAGATGAGGGCAAAAGATAATGGGTGGATGATGCGGAGCCTTCTGGATCTCAGGGAGACTTCGCTTTTTCTCTGAGTGTGGAGGAAACCATGGGAGGGTTTTGTGCAGAGGAGGGATGTGGGTTGACTAGAGCTTTAGGGATACCCTGTAGTGGCCAGAGCAGAAGCGGGGGACCACTCAGGACGTGCCTGCAGTGGTCCAGGTGAGATGCTGGTGACTGGACCAGCAGGGAAGCAGGGGGGTGGCAAGCAGCATTTTGGAGGTTGAGCCATCTGAAGGGCTGAGGATTGGATGTGGAGTATGGGAGAAAGAGGAGCCAGCGTGACCACCAGATTTTCAGCTTGAGTCCCCAGTCAGATGGAGGTGTCATTTTCTGTGATGGAGCAAAGTTAGGGAAGAGCAGGTTGAGGGTGAAGATTAAGAAAGAGGTGTTGGGAAAGTCAGGTCCAAGGTGTCTGTTCACATCTCAGTGGAGATGTCCAGGAGGGAGTGATGAGTCAGAGTTCAGGGAGAGGGCTGGGCAGGATATCAAAATGTGGAAGTTTCTAGGGGCCGGCCCGTGGCTCACTCGGGAGAGTGTGGTGCTGATAACACCGAGGCCACGGGTTCAGATCCCTACATGGGGATGGCCGGTTAGCTCACTGGGTGAGCGTGGTGCTGACATCACCAAGTCAAGGGTTAAGATCCCCTTACCGGTCATCTTTAAAAAAAATAAAATGTGGCAGTTTCTGCACATAAAGAGGAACCAAAGCCAAAGGACTCATCAGGGACTGAGGATAGAACAAAGAAGAGAAAAGGGTCGTGTCTAGAGGCAGGAAGGTGAGGCAGTAGAGGAAAACCAAGAGATTTTGGTGTCCCAGCAGGTAAGAGGAAAATGTGTCTAGCGGAGGTCACTGGTGGCTTTGCCAAGAGTAATCCCATGGGGTGGCGGGAGAGAGAATGAGGGCGGAGGAGGTGGGGGTGTCTCACTGCCAGTGCAGTGCCAGGTTCTACACTGAGTGCTGGAATGCGAGTGGTCAGCGAGGCCTGAATAGACAGGGGCAGCCAGAAAGGTCGGCAGGTCAAATGAGAATGTCACAAGGGAGCCTGACCCTCAGGCCTTAGGTTTCTGCAGGATCCAGGCCCATTCATCCATTCATTTGTTCATTGGCGCATTTATTTACCAAACACTGCTGCGTCCCTCCTCCGTGGCCAGCGCAGTGCTGACCGAGACAGCCTTGTGCTCTTTCCTGGAGCTCACAGTTCAGTGAGGGACATAGGCCCATCTAACCACAGTCAGCAGGGCTGGGATGGAAGGGCCTTGTCGCTGGGCAGCGGAGAGGTCACCTGACGCAGCCTGGGAGTTAGGGAGGGCTTCCTGGAGGAAGGGATATGGTGGGGAACAACAGAGAGTTGGTCCCACTCCCCACAAACTCAGGAGTATCAGGTGGAAGCGAAATTAAATAATGTCTCCCTTAGAGACTGAGATCAGGGCAGGCTTCCTGGAGGAGGGGGCCTGTGCGAGGAAAACAAGGGATGAGTAGCCAGCCCAGATCCAGGCTATCCCTCCTTACTTCCTCTTGTTCATTCATCTAATACACATTCCTTAGCACCTGTATTAATTCCTATGGATGCTGTCACAAATTACTACGAGCTTAGTGGCTTAAAACAGCACAGATTGTTATATAGTTCTTGAGGTCCAAAATGGGTTGGCAGGGCTGTGTTCCTTCCGTAGGCTCTAGGGGAGAATATGTTTGTTTCCTTGCTTTTTCTAGCTTTAGAGGCCATCTGTAGTCCTCAGCTTATGGCGCCTTCCTTCATCTTCAAAGCCAACAGCATAGCATCTTCCACCTTCCCTCTATCTGACCCACACTGTCCCAACTCCCTCTTTCCTTTAGAAGAACCTCTGTGATTACATTGGTCCCCCCTGAATGATCCAGGATAATCTCTCCATCACAAACTTTAACTTCACACCTGCAAAGTCCCTTTTTGCCATGTGAGGTAGCATATTCACAGGATCCAGGGATTAGGATGTGGACATCTTTGGGGGCCAGTATTCTGCCTGCCACAGCACCTATTCCATGGCAGACCTGTGCAGGATTGTGCTGGGGACACAGCATGACACCCCCAGCTTCCCTCACAGGCTCACAGCCCAACGGGGAGACAGACCCATCCCCAGACAGTGACAACCTGGAGTGGTCAGGGCTGGGATAGGGCAGGGGTGGGCAGTGGGCAGTGGATGGGGGACTTCCGAGGGGGCACCTGCCCCAGCCTGCAGGAGGAGACTTCTCTGAAAGTGTGTAGCTGGAAAAGAGATGAGGGTCTGGGGCAGATCCCTGAGAAGCCAGGAAATTTTAAACAAGATGAGGAAGCTGCAGAGATGAAACAGCTGCCAGAGGAGTCGTAGGGAGCCAGGAGGATGAGAGCAGGAAAAGCAGAATTTCCAGAAAAGGGGAGAGTTGATCAGTGTCAGGTCATTTGTACATGGAGTATGTATAAGCATTTCTGTAATAACATTAGAAAACATACTCAAGGGCCGGCCCGTGGCTCACTCGGGAGAGCGTGGTGCTGACAACACCAAGTCAAGGGTTAAGATCCCCTTACCGGTCATCTAAAAAACAAAAAAACAACAAAAACAAAACAATAAAACCATACTCAGAGTACAGATGCTCTTCAACTTACCATGGGGTTACATCCTGATAAACCCATTGTAAGTCAAAAGTGTGTTTAATACCCTGATAAATACATTGGAGCGTGGTGCTGACAACACCAAGTCAAGGGTTAAGATCCCCTTACCGGTCATCTAAAAAACAAAAAAACAACAAAAACAAAACAATAAAACCATACTCAGAGTACAGATGCTCTTCAACTTACCATGGGGTTACATCCTGATAAACCCATTGTAAGTCAAAAGTGTGTTTAATACCCTGATAAATACATTGTAAAGTCAAAAATTTGTTAAGTCGAACCATTGTAAGTCAGGGACCAGCGACATAGAAATCAACAAAAGTAAGAGCTGAAAAAAATGAGTAAAAATCAAAGGACTAATGTTGGCACTCACAGTTGCCACCAGATGGTGTCGCGCACACACATCTGAGGCCTGGAGCTGGTATTTTTCAGATTGTAGCTGAAGATACTGTACTTTGCAACTCCTGCTTATCGAAGTCTGTATTTGTTTATCTTTTTATATAAAATTCGAGTCTGCGTGCTGGTCCAGGCACATTTATTCATAGGTTGTATTCTAATATTTATATATACATTACAGTTCAGTGAGGGCAGAGCCCAGAGTTGTCTTAGTTACGGTGCTGACCCTGGCACTGCCCATCACAGGTAGAATGATTGAATTAATTCCAGGCTAAGGAATTTGACTCTCTGCAGAGATAGCATTAAGTCACAGAATGGAGTGGCAAGGTTGGCTTTTGTTTGTTTGTTTTATTTTGTTTTTGGTGGCTGGCCGGTACAGGGAGCTGAACCCTCAACCTTGGTGTTGCAAGACTGCAATCTGACCAACTTAGCTAACTGGCCAGCCCTAAGGGAGTGGCAAGGTTAGATGGAGGCTGCTGAACATGCCAGGGTCCCCCTTGGCCCTGGGTTTTTGCACATGCTGTTCCCTCTGCCTGTCCTCTAGGTCTCAGTTCAGACACACCCTCCACCAGGAGGTGCTCACTGACTCCCAGGTTCAGAGTGGGTTAGACACCTCCTCTGTGCTCCATCAACCCAGTCCTACCCACTCTGGGATGATACTCTGGGAATGGGTCTTCCTCCACGAGAATGTGAGCCCTGAGAGGGCAGGGCAGGGCCTGCTTCAGTCACTACTGTGCCCTAGCACAGGACTGGGTACAGGTGGAGTGAGGGACTCAATGTTTTGGCCCCACTCTGCCCAGACGTTGGGTCCTGGGTATGCTCTGTCGCTGACCGCCTCTCTGCCCCATAGTTCCGGAACTTTAAGATCATTTACCGACGCTACGCTGGCCTCTACTTCTGCATCTGCGTGGACGTCAACGACAACAACCTGGCCTACCTGGAGGCCATCCACAACTTCGTGGAGGTGCGTGGGGGGCGGGAGGGGCGGACGGGCAAGCAGCTCTAGGGTGGCTGTCCCTCAGATCCCAGGAACCATCCCCGGTCCCTCCTCAGCCCTGCCCTCAGTGGTGGGTGGGACTCCGTCTTTCCCTCCCCACCTTGCTGTTCCTTTTTGTCTCTCTCTCTGTGGCTGCTGCAGCCAGCTGCGGTCACCGTGCCACCATCCGTGTCCATCTCTGTCTCCGTCTTTCTGTCTCTGCCCAGCCAGCCAGCCACCTCTCCATCTGTCTTGTTGTCCTTGTGCCTCAGTCTGTCTTTTTTGCCATCTTCCTCTGTGGTTACCCGATGATCTTTGCTTTTGTTTCTCTTTCGTCTCTCTCTCGCCCTCTTTTTAGGTTTCTCTTTTTTTGCCGTCTCTTTATGATGATCTTTGTTCCTGTTTCTCTCTGTCTCTGTCCTCTCCTCCCTTCCTCCCCGTTGGTCTCTCTCTGTCATTTTGTCTCTTGTTTATTTATTTATTATTTGGCAGCTGGCTGGTGTGGGGATCCGAGCCCTTGACCTTGGTGTTATAACGCCACGCTCTAACCAACGGAGCTCACCAGCCAGCCTGTTTTGTCTCTTTCTGATGACCTTCATTCCTGTCTCTGTATGTGTATGTCTTCCTCTCTCCCTGCCCACCTCTTACCATCTCTGTCTTACTCTCCCAGGTCTTAAACGAATATTTCCATAATGTCTGTGAGCTGGACCTGGTGTTCAACTTCTACAAGGTAGGCTCCTGGTGAAGATGAGGATGAAGGAGCTGAAGGAGGGGGAAGGAGGCTGGCCTGAGCCCTTTAGCTGCCTAGTGCCTCTGCTGAGGTCTATTTCCTGCCTCTTGGGGCATCAGAGCCCCTAGCTTCCAAGGTCAGGACCAGCATCGCCAGGGGGCCTTTCTTTCACACCAGGGTCTCTTCCTTGGCCTCCCTTTACACAGGTTTATACAGTTGTGGACGAGATGTTCCTGGCTGGGGAAATCCGTGAGACAAGCCAGACGAAGGTGCTGAAACAGCTGCTGATGCTGCAGTCCCTGGAGTGAAGGCAGGCGAGTCCTCCAGGCCCCAGCCCCTCCCGGACTTGCCTGCTCGCTTCCCCTTTCCAGGCCTGCAGCCCATCCCAGCAGCCTCTTCCTTCCGCTGCCCAGGAGGAAGGGACCCAGCTGGGTCTGGGCCACAAGGGAGAAGACTGCGCCCCACTGCCTCTGGGCCCCAACTATGGGTGGAGGCCACCTTGTATGTTCCGAGTAACTGTGCTGTGGTTGTGTGATGCTGTGAGTGTGTGTGCATGGAGCCCCCAATAAACCTATGGTCCCCCCTGGTCTTGCTGTCTTTGAGCCCTTGCCTGTCTTCTCTGGGAGCCATAGACACTTAGGGTGCCTTGCCCTCAGTCCGTCAGTCGGTCAGTCAACAAATACTCCTCGTGCTGATCAAGGTGGAGGACCCAGGCACGCTTCAAACCTGCTCCTGTCCACAAAGGGACCCCAAGACTGGAAGGGGACCAAGCACCTGCTAATAAAATAATAGTACAGCTAACATTTAATAGCACGGGGTATCTCCCAGGTCTTGTTCTAGTTGACTGACATGTATTACCATACTTAATGCTCTCAAGGTTATGAAGAAAGGACTATTATCATCCCCATTTTTCAGGTGAGACCACTGAGCCCAGGAAGATTAAAAGTCTTGCCCAAGGTCACATAGCTAGTCAGTGGCCAAATCAGGCTTGTTTTGAGCCCAGGCAGGCGGCTCCAGAATCCTTGTTTTTAGCTACCAGATCCGGCAGTCATTGGAAGTGTAGGCACTATGCTTAGTGTTTTGCGTTTCTCAGCAACAGCACTGTTGGCATTTGTGCTAGGACAATTCTTCATTGTGAGACTGTCCCTGGAATGACTGGACTTCTGGCTTCGTCCCACCAAGTGTCAGAAGTGGCCCTCTGGCCATTGTGACAATAGGAAACACCCCTGGGTGTTTCTAGTGCCCTCCAGAATTGTGGCTTCCATGCCTGTTGACAGCAGAGTGTTATGGCTGCTGGCTGCACCTATGACTAGTGTCCTTGGCGAGCTGAGAACAACTCTGGTCACACATCCGCTCTTATTAATGTCAGCCACTTAGCAGCTGTGTGATCTTTGGGTAAGTCATCCTCTTTTGCCTCCATTTTTCATCTGGAAAATGGGCTAATAGTTTTTGTCTCACTGATGTGTTTGAGGATTAAATGAGCTAATCTAGGAGAAAGTTTAAAATTGTGCTTGACATTAGTAAGCATGCATTCGTTCCACAGACATTAAGAGCCTGCTGTGTCCAGTGCACTGTCAGAGAAGCGAAGGTGTCTGCAGAAGTGGAAAATAAGCCATAATTGTTTCACATGTGGGGACACAGGCCTGGCGAAATGAATTCCTTTGTATCAGGCATTTTTATAGATATATAACAGTTTATTAGCTTTCTATTTCTGCTGTAACAAATTACAAACTTAGTGGCCTAAAACAACACAAACTTATTATAATTCTAGAAGTGAGAAGTCCAAAGTGGGTTTCGTTGGGTTAAAATCAAGGTGTCAGCAGAGCTGTCTGGAACATCTAGGGGAGAATCCATTTCCTTGTCTTTTTGAGCTTCTGGAGGCTGCCTGCAGTCCTTGGCATGTAGCCCCATCCTCTATCTTCAAAGCCAGCAGCATAGCATCTTCTTTTTTGTTGTTGTTAAAAAAGATGACCAGTAAGAGGATCTTAACCCTTGACTTGGTGGTGTCAGCACCACGCTCTCCCAAGTGAGCTAACCGTCATCCCTATATAGGGATCCAAGCCCTGGCCCTGCAGCGGCATAGCATGCCTCTCTCTCTCTCTCCCCCCCCCCACTCTGGCTCTCCTACTCCCATTTCATTCATAAGGACTCCTGGGATTGCAGAAAAATCCCACCTGGATGATCTGATCCTTAACATAATCACATCTGCAAAATCCCTTTTGCCATGTGAGTTAATATATTCACAGGTTCCAGGAATTTGGACATGGACATTTTAGGAAGCCATTCTCCTCTTTTTTTTTTTTTTTTTTTAAATAACCGAACCCGTGGCCTTGGTGTTATCAGCACTGCACTCTCCGAAGTGAGCCACAGGCCGGCCTCAGGAAGCCATTATTCTACCTACTGCAAAACGACAGACACATGGTGTCTGCATAAGAGTTGTGGGTTTTTCTTTGTTTGTTTGTTTGTTTTTTTAAAAGACGACCGGTAAGGGGATCTCAACCCTTGGCTTGGTGTTGTCAGCACCAGGCTCACCCAGTGAGCAAACCGGCCATCCCTATATGGGATCTGAACCCGTGGCCTTGGTGTTATCAGCACCACACTCTACCGAGTGAGCCACGGGCTGGCCCCTGAGTTGTGGGGTTTTTTTGGAGAGGTTTTAACATTGAACTTTATTGAAATATATTTATAAGATATACTCTGGGTCTTTTTTTTTTTTCTTCTTCACCGTATGAGAAATATATTGGGAAAATTAGGAAGTCAGTCATACAATTTCTACTCCATGATCCAGCCATTGCTTTTCAACATATGAATTCTACACAAAGGATTAATGACAAATGTGGATTTTTTTTTTTTAAAAGATGACCGGTAAGGGGATCTTACCCCTTGACTTGGTGTCGTCAGCACCACGCTCTCCCAAGGGAGTGAACCGGCCATCCCTATGTGGGATCCGAACCCGTGGCCTTGGTGTTATCAGCACCGCACTCTCCCGAGTGAGCCACGGGCCGGCCCACAAATGTGGATTTTTGACAAGATTTTACTGGGGGGTAGGAAGAAAGAGGCCTTGAAAAGGGGATATTTTCTGTAAGAAGAGATCTTTGCCTTTATTTCAGAAATTTTCCAACTCTTCCTGGTAGCACCTGCTTCCTTCCTCCTAATCCACCTTGGCCTCCTTCCCCTTCCTAGTTTTTTTTTTTTTTTTTTTTTTTTTAAAGATGACCGGTAAGGGGATCTCAACCCTTGGCTTGGTGTTGTCAGCACCTTGCTCAGCCAGTGAGCAAACCAGCCATCCCTATATGGGATCCGAACCCGCGGCCTTGGTGTTATCAGCACCACACTCTACTGAGTGAGCCATGGGCCGGCCCACCCTTCCTAGTTTCAGAGGCTGGAAGTCCAAGATCTAGGGAATGCATCTGGTGAGGGTCGTCTTTGGTGGTCACGCAGGGTATCACATTGTGAGATGGCAGAAGCAGAGAGCAAGAGTTGGTTTTCTTAGCATCAAAAACCCACTCTGGGGGGCTGGCCGGTTAGTTCAGTGGTTAGAGCATGGTGTTGATAATACTGAGGTCCAGGATTTGATTTCTTGTATTGGCCAGCTGCCAAAACAAACAAACAAACAAACAAACAAAACCTCCACTCTGGCTAGATTAGCCAGGAAAGAAATTCTAAGCAGAGGGAACAGCAAATGCAAAGGCTCTGGGGCAGAACATGAAGGAGGCCAGGGTGGCTGGAACAGAGTCAGGGAAGGGGAGAGTGGAGGCAATGTGTTCAGAGAAATAGTGGGGTTGAGGCTGGGAGGGGGAAGGCAGATCACACAGGGCCTGTGGTGAAGACATTGGGTTTATTCTGTGAAGGGTTTTTTGTTTTGGAGGGTCTGGGGATGAGCAGTAACAGCTTTATTAAGATATAACTTACATATCATACAACCCACCCATTTATGGTGTACAATTCAGTGGTTTTTAGCATATTAACAGAGTTGTAATCCATTTTAGAACATACTCATCACCCAAAAGGAAACCTTACCCTTTATCCATCACCGCTCATTCACCCGGCCCTAGGCAACCACTAATCTATTTTCTGTCCCTATGGACTTGCCTGGACATTTCATGTATGTGGAGTCATTCAGTATTTGGGGCACGGGAAGGTTTGGGGGCAAATCTGAAGCAAGGAAAGTCAAGGACAGGAGCAGAGGCCAGTGAGGAGGTGATACCTGGGCCAGGATGGAGGCTGGTGATGGGAGGAGAGAAGGGATCAGATTCAGGGCACGTTTTGAAGGTAGAGTCAACAGGATTTTCTGACAATTTGATGTAGGGTGGGAGAGAAGTCAAAGATCAGTCTCGATTTTACAACCTGAAAGTCTTGAAGATTGGAATCTCCCTTTACAGAAGTGAGAAGCCAGAGGGAGGAATCTGTCGAGTTTGAGCTCTTAGGACTTCCGCGGGAGATGCCAAGGAGCCAGCGGCTGTGTGGGTCTGGAGCTGGGGAGAGAAGTCTGGCCGGAGACAGACGTCTGGAAGTCACCAGAACACCGATGAGATCACTGCCATGAGATCAGCTGAGATCACCAAGAGAGCAGGGTGGAAGAGAGAGGAGAAGAGATCTGAAAACTGAGGCTGCGGGCTATTCAACGATCAGAAGTCAGGATAAAGAGGAGAAACGAGGAAGTGAAAACAGGGCAGGACCAGCCGGTCAGTGCAGCCTCCTTGTATTAAGTGAAAGAAGTGTGTTCAGGGGAGAGTATTCACATGCTTAATGCTGCCGAGATCACTACAAACCTATTAGAAAGGCTAATTTTAAACATACTGCCAGCAAACATGTACAGCGACTAGAACTCTCATGCATTGCTGGGGGGAATGCAAAACGGTGCAGCAGCTCTGCAAAAGGGGCTGGCCGTTTCTTACAACGTTAAACATTCACTTCCCTTATGACTCAGCAATCTCACTCCTACTTGTTGACCCAAGAGAAATAAAAACACGTCCACACAAAAACTTGCGCATGCATGTTCATAGCAGCTTTATTCACAGCAGCCAAAAGGGGGAGACAACGCAGATGTCCATCAACTGATGAGTGGACGAATAAGATACGCTGTCTCCTTACGGGAGAATATTATTCGGCCATAGGAAGGAATTAACTTCTGAAACACGCTACAATATAGATGAACCTTGGAAACGTTATGCCAAGTGAAAGAAGCCAGTCACAAAAGACCACAGAAGTCAGGAAGCCACAGAAGCCACAGGCCAAGTGAAAGAAGCCAGTCACAAAAGACCACAGAAGTCAGGAAGCCACGGGCCGGCCCTTGTGCCCAGGATTTGTTGGTTTCTTTTTGTATTTGCAACAGCAAGGTAAATTCCATTTATTTATTTCATAACAGCTTTGTTGAGATAGATTCACGTATTATTCAATTCACTCATTTAATGTGTACAATTAGACGGTTTTTAGTATATTCACAGAGTTTTGCAACCATCACTACAATCAATTTTATCTTATTATTTTATTATGTCGATATACAATGTGGTTGATTATTGTGGCTACAATCAATTTTATTTATTTTATTTTTTTCCTTTTTGTCTTTTTTTTACTGACCGGTAATG